TCGCCTCGCCTCGCCTCGCCTCGCCTCGCCTCGCCTCGCCTCTCCTCTCCTCTCCTCTCCTCTCCTCTCCTCTCCTCTCCTCTCCTCTCCTCCCTCTCTTCTCTGCTACTCTACCATACTCTCTCCTGCTGTGCTCTAGAGCTTGCCAGTGCTGGAAATTTGGAACATAAAAAAGCACACCTATGGGCAAAGGAAGCATTGTTATAGTGAGTTGTGAAGGCCCCGGTAGCACCTAAGTAAAGCTTTGACAGCCCGTAGACCCTGCCTAGCCTAGCACCTCAAAGATTCTTTGTCGCAAGCGACAAAGACGTTTCCTGTCATTTTGTCCACAGAGGCACACCACATAGCAGCACGGAACATGGGCAGCAGACAGCATTCTCTACTCTACTCGACCTCACTTTACTCTACTTTACCCCACAGACAGTACTGGACTTTACTTGACCTCACCCCTACCCTACTGGTTCTCTACTCTACTCTACCCTTCTCTACTGATTTCCCTCTACCAATTCTCTTGTCCTCTACTCTTCTCTACCTTTGTTTACTCTAAACCCTGGCTGAGCCAGCTCTGCTTTTCCAAGCGTCTTCTCTACTCTAGCTTTGCTCTACTCTACTCTCTACTCTACCCTACACTACCCTAATCTACTCGACCGTGCTCTACTCTATTCTCCTCCGCTCACCCTACCCCAGCCTACTCTACTCTAGTCTACTCTACACTTTAGTACTTCGGGCAAGCCAGTGGCGGAAGCTTCGAAAAGGACAGTAAGTACTTCGGCAAAGGAAGGATTGCTGCCTACCATGAGTTGTCCAAAGATGTGTGTCTTGATTGAAATTAGAGACTTGTTTCAGAGAGCCATCATCTCATCGAATCTGTCCACAAGGCATTTCTGGAACTCCAGCTTTCAGTCGATCTGCCAAGAACCAAGAGTCTAACGACCGTGTCTTGACTGAGTCTAAGCCTGTTCAGTCACAGGATGCGCAGGAAAGCATGGACATTGGGCCCAATTATACAGTTGTCTCATTGGACACAATTTGAAGCTAGTACTTGTTTGTTAGTTAGTTGGTTGGTTGGTTGGTTCGTTCGTTGGTTGGTTGGTTGGTTTGTGGTTCGTTCCCCACGGGTTGATCTCGGTTCGCATGATCTCGGTGAGCACGCATGCTCCCGGTCCAGGCAGAAGGAGCTCGCGGGCATCTTTGCCAAGGAGGTCCTGTTTGTGGGGCATCCTAGAGCCCCTCTGTGATCTGTGACGACCTCCTGGTCGGGGTGAATGGGGCAATCAGTGGCATTTTTGCCAGGCCTCTCTCTCTCTCTCTCAACTTCCTCTATCTTTTTTCTCCTCCTCTCTCTCTTTCTGATTTTGGAGGCACGGTTGGGGGGAAGTGGTGGTGAGACAACCAGACCCAAAGAGCCAGCCCCCAGCACCAAAGTCTCTCAGCTCTCCCCTTGCATTCAGGTACCAGCCCACGATTCCACCACGGAGCATTGGTGGTTGGCCTTGGTGATCTGTCCGTCAGCACCTCAAAACAGACAATTGGAAGAAAATCAAACACGCCAACCAAATGGAGAGGAAACACGAAGCCGGCCCCCCATCCCCCCAAAAACATCCGACCGTTCCGCGTTCTACTTTGTTTCGCCCCGGAACCGCGGTCCCCACCGGTTCCGTTCCGTTCCGCCACCGGCGCCAGGTGGGCGGCCTGCCCGGCGCCGGGCGGCTGCCCCGCGCTGCGGCAGCCCTTCGTGGCCTTCCTGGACTCGATCGATCCGAGGCGCCGACCGCGTGGTCGGCAGAGGTCGGTGGACATCGAGAGGGACATCGAGACGGAAATCGAGACGTTAGGAGGAGTTTTTTGATAGGTCAAAAGTCAAGAGTCGCGGTGGTTTCAGGTGCTCTGACTCAGACCTGTTTTTTGTGGGTGTGTTTGTGTTTGTGTGTGATTTTGGGGCGATAGTGGATGAGAAGCACTCTTGACAAGTGACAAGTCCATGTCGAGGTGGCTTAGAACTCAGGTCCTTTGAGCGAAACCAGCCTGCTGGGAAGGTATTGAGGACCACGGGGCCTCCCTGAAGTCACTTCCTTTCATGCGAACGACAGATACGCGATCGGTTCTTTGTCATAGTCATGTTTCCAAAGACCTTTAAACAAACGTGGACTCTTTTTAATCTTTCCAGAAGACTGGCTGGAAAGCCAACTGCATGGCCCGTGCCAACCGTGAGTGTCCTTTTTTCCTCAAAGGGCACGGCAATCTGGTCAATCCCCTTCGCATGAGCCACCCTTTTGAACCGATTCCCTGAGGCTCTCAGGATGAAGTGATGAACCGCTCACCCCGCAGCGTGTGGACGCTGAGGCTCTCTTCTTGTGAAGTGGACTCGGAAAACCTCCAGGCGATGGAAGCGAATCGACGCGGCCAGAAGAATCGGAAGAAGAACTCGGCCACTTGCCCAATCAGACCCCCAAAACTTCCACAGGTTTACTGAGTTAACTCTCGCTCTTTCCTGCATGATTTTTGGATCAGATCTCTTTCGATGACACCCTCGGTGAGCCTTTGGTGCCACACACCGACGTGGAGTCCAGGTTCTGCTCCAGGCTGCTGCCGCCGCAGATCTGCGGCACCAGACGGCGCTGAAGCTCTTGCGGGACTTGGGGGGGGCCCTGTCTGGGGCGGAAGGAAGATGGGGGATATGGATGGATATGGATGGGTTGTTGGTTGAAAGATTGGAATTGGATCGGTTGTAAGTATATACTTTGTAGCAATTCTTGAAAGCATGTTGGCCAAAGCTGAGGTTGATCCAGAGGGAGATTCCCAAATGTTTTTGGGTCATGACAGCTCTATCTATGTGGATGTTGGGGCACTTTGAACTGTTTTGAACGACACCATCCTGGCTGGTGTGCCATATTGGGAGGGGCACATGGGTCAACATGCATCCAGGTACAGAACATGGACTCGGTCATCTGGTAGATTTCTCTAGGACTCTGCCAATACCCCCTCAACCTTAGCATGCTATTTGAGGCGTAGTACATCGGCAGTTCCCCTGGCTCCGACGCTGTGTCCGAGCGACACCGAGACGGGCGGCCGGTGGCGGTGGGCGCATGTTCGGGAGAACATGCAGCACTGCAGGAGTACTTGAAGAAGGAATGGCTGGACTGCGCGAGCCTCAAATGGCTTCAACAGGAGCCGAAAAGACATTTCTGCAGAGTTGCATGCGAAACTCGCCCCCCCCACCGTGTCAAACTGGTTTGGGAAGGTGCCTGCTTCGGCCCCTGTGGTGCGGTCCTTCCGATGAAGCACTTCGGGACCTCGAGGTCCCGCGGGTCCACGAGAAAGCACTTCAGACCCGGCGCGTTCCGAGGCTTTGGCGAAGGAGCTGAAGAGTATTGCGAAGAGTCCATCCAGGGCATTTCCATCGAAGTCCCACAGCAGGCCATCTATGATGACCTGGGCACTCCGCCCACATGGCGTCCGCACTCGTGGAAAAAAAAGAAGTCCCACAGCAGGCCATCTGTGAAAAAGCCGTGCATGTTCCGAAAGTTTTGCTGGAAAAGAACGAAAGGTCTTGATTCTTCTTGGGTTCTGATACGGCTTGGGGGGAGAGAGTTGGGAGTGCCGAGAAGATCTGACCTAAGCCCCTATCCAAGTCTCATGTCTTTTTAGGGTGAGGACCATGTGTTGGTTTTTCGGTTGGGTCGATGCAAGTGGCACACCAAGTGGCATGAAGTTTCGTTTGAGCTGGACTTGTTTGCGTTCACCGCACACCCGTGCCGAGACCAACAGCACGGATTGCGGGATCTACGTGCTGGAGTCCGACCCCCAGAGCGGGTTGATTGGGCAAGCAGCTGCTCCTGGGCCTTACCCAGGGATCGGAGTTGGGCCAAATCCACAGCAATCTTTGGATGAAGATCCCACTTCACCCAATGGAGGATGGAGGCTGAGCACTGCGGAAGACGAAGCCGGGAGCGAGGACTTCACCAACTCAGAACCTGGAGGGTTTTAGTTTCAAGGCCTTTCACATGCATCGGTTCCAACATTTGGTTGGCGAAGTTCGGGGAGGTGCTGCTGCTTTGTTTCTTGAAATTCGATTTCCTTAAGTACTGTTCAGAGCATCATCCTAGCTGTTCAACATCTGCATCCCAATCAGGCTTGTTCCTGAATGACAAAGATCCTCTGGGACTTCCGACCGCACATCCACATCCAATCTCGCCCCAATCTGCACCAACCCCATCTCCTTTCCTTGCCGCCTCCCCGACCGACCTTGCATCCGACTCGAGGTATGCGCGGAGGCTGCTGGACGATCCGCGCCTGCTGGAGCACCTTTGCACCTACCAGGAGTGGTGGAGACTCGGTGGGATCCGGTCGACCGGGGCTCCGGCGCTCCACAACGGCGGCTTGGGCGGATTCACCGGTGCACGAGAGAAAGACGCAGCGTTCGGTCGTTTTTGAAACGACGAAGCTCCGGGGTTTTGAAGGAAAGTGGTGGCTTCGCAAGACCCATATTGCAGGAAGGCTGCCCTGGGTCTCGCACGTCTTCGTTTGTCCCAGTCGCTTCATCTCTTTGATGTTTGAGGTGGTGTGATACACGAGACGTAGATGGCTTGTGCTTCACAAGGGGCTTGGAACCATTTGGAACTTTCGACGGGCGGCAAGACTAAGCCATCACCTGCTCCTGTTCCGAGCCTGTAGAAGATCATAATGATCTACTAATTATGGGTGCATATTTCAATACGGGAGATCCCTCACCAATGGCTTTTGGTCTAGTATTTGGTCTAGTCTTCCTCTTCGAGTTGCTTTTCTTGGAGGTTTGCCTATGGTAAATACCATGTAATGCACACCCATCTATCTAAATCTCCACCACGTCAGACGTCTCTGCCGCCACGCCTCTGCCAGGCAGCGCCTGCCCAGCTCACCCTGGTGCCCAGTGGTTCGGCGGCGTCGCTGCGGAAGCGCTGGCGGAAGCTGGGGGAACGACTCATGGCAGATGCCATCCCCAGGCAGGGGCTTTTGAGTGAAGAGAGAAGGGGAGTGTCAAGAGGGCAGTGGAGTTGGGGTGGAAGAATTTGGGAGAAGAAGGAGAAGAAGGAGGAGGAGAAATGGGCTGAATCAATCTGAATCATGTGTTGAGTTCCGCTTGGGCATAGGTGTTCTGTGCCGGGTAGAACTGCGCATTCTTCTCCCTCCTAGGCGCAGATCCATCCCCACACCAGCCAGAAGTGCGGTCTGAGGCCTAAGCCGAAGCGCATAAGTATGACTCATTGAGCTTCAGGTTTTGGTTTGGGTTGTACCTACTTTCTAGACTTTGAGCCTTTCTCATTTGATTCATCATCGAAAACCTTTGTTTGATCAACAAACATGTGTGAAAGTGATTCTTGGAATTGACCTATTTGCGCATGATACATCGGGTCCAATTCTTATTGTTGACCAATTCAGGTCTCGGATTTGCAGCCTTCTGTTGACCTCTGTCCTCACCCGGTGCATGTTCCCTGGCAGTGCTGAGGCAGCCTCCGCAACACGTACCAGGTGGCCGACGAAAGCCTTTGCTGACTCTTGAAAGTCAAGACCAAATCGTGTTTTCGGCCAAGCAAATTGCTCTTTTACTTCACTCGAGGGTCTTTGAATGTCTTGACCCCCTGTACCCCGGGCCCAGTCGGTCGTCTTGCCGAGCTCCGGCCGAGAGCAGCCGCTCGGCCGGAGAAAGCAAGGCTTCAAGAAAGCTTCAAGGAGAGTCTGGCGCTACTGGACCGAGCGAGTGGCATTGCCGCCAGTTTCGAAGACACGGACACCACCGACGCACCACCAGAAAAAAGAAAGCGAGAAGATGCGACGTTTATGCGGCATCCACCAGCATTTTTTGGGGAATTCTGACTGTCACAAGATATGAGCCAATTGTTGAAAACATATTGTTTGGGGTAGTTTTCTGCTGGAAGAAAGTCTTGCAGTCTGCAAAAGAGCTTGGTCATTTGTGGGTGTCCGACATGTGAGGTTTAGTTCAGGAAAAGATGATGTATATACATCCAAAATCGAAGAGATTTGTGGCTACCACAAGCCTTCAGCCGTCACTCCATCAAGGGCCGTGAGTAAAAGCCCTGCGAACTTATGAACACTCCGAAATGCGTTGTCCCTGTGGTTGTCTTGATTCTTGCCTCATTTTTGATCGAGTATGAACCAAAATGTGTCCTTGATCGCCCCCCATTTTCTACACTTACTCTACCTTGTACCTCAAACCATCTCTTCCACCTGCTTCTGCTGGATCACCAGGACTCTCATCTTCCTCGCCTGGCGAGTCAAGGAGCTTGTGCAGGTGGGTTTTGGGTTGAACATCCATCCAAATCCCGGCTCATTCGGACAGTTCGAAGAGTTCCACTGCTTTGGACCTTTCCAAAGACTGCGGAATTTTGCAGATTTTTGTGTTTTGTTCTAAAAGAGTTCAACCACTGCTCCCACTGTTAACAGGCTGTTGGGACAGGGAAGTTTCAGGAACTCGCGCGCCTACGCGTTCTCAAAGTAAGACTCTTCAAACCCGAACCGTCATCGTGGTCGGGCTCACGACATGGTCATGCTTTATGCAAGATTGGCATGACATGGTCAAAAAAAAACTGACATGGACATGGTCAATGAAGGGATTGGCATTGTTTTTCGTTTTCACTACCATCGAAAATCCCCTCAGCTGACCGTTCTCGTGACCGTTCAAGCGTCCCTGGACCCGGTCCCGTCGTGCGGACACCGTAAGGATTGGAGGTTCTTTAAGAAGTCAAGACACACCTTGGATGTGAACCATGAACACCTTGCCGGTTTCTTCAACCTTCAGTTGTTAAACATGGATCTCCAGGATGTGAACGAAAGGGATCCTTCGAACGCCTCGCGCGCCGACGCGGACGCAGATCGGGTGCTGTGCTTTGACAGCCGCTTCTATGGGCATTTGGTGAAGGGCGAGCTGGAGAAGGCTGGGAACATGGGGGGGTGAAGGCTCTGATGTACATGAGCCCGCTTCACAATGTGAATACATGAATGTCCTTGTTTCCCCTTCTCTGCTGCCTTCGTCTCCAGTATTAGGGAGGAACATCAAGAAACCCATTTGTAGGGAACATCTCCTTAGGAGAGGTCTGGAGAGAAACTCAAATGCACAAAGAATTCCTGGATTCCGCTCCAGGCGCATGCCATCTCTGCGGAGTGCAGGCCACTGGTGGCAGATCAGGTGGACTCTTGATGAAGAACACCCTCCCATTTTGGAGCGTCAATCTTCTTGATATGGTGGGTTGGAACATATCATCAGTCTACATGACCGTCTCTCGTACAAGGTTTTAGAAGGAGCTCTGCAAGGTGTACTGTAGGATTCTGCAAAGCAATGGATTGCTTCAAAGGTCCTGAGAGATCTGCAAGAATATTTGCGGATACTCGAAGAGCAAGAACTTTCGTGGAGTGTGGATGAAAAAGGGACAAGGTGAACCCCTTAGCAGATAAGCAAACAACGATGAAAGATACCATAAAAGCAATGAGCAGAATCCAGTCCATGTGACAGCCACAACTCAAGACAATGTCCATCTCCATTGCTACTGGTATCAGCCGGAGATGGGAGAACACCCGGGATACTTGAGCAACAGCGGTCAGGTGACAATCAACTTTGCCGCGGTTCATTGAGGGCACGCCTGGAAAAAGCCTTGTGAAAAAAGAACAAGACGAACAAGGAATCGACACCAGTCGATTCCGAATTGCCGGATTTTTTGGACAAACGCATTTGGGTATATTTGGGTGAAGATTGAAGATGTTCTTATGATAAAGTTTGATCTTCCTGCTGATGTTCGAGCACAGGTCAGTCCTTTTAGTTTAGATGTCTTTATGCCCGCCGTCGTTGAATAATACGCAAAAAGCCACCAGGTGTCCTGTTCAAGAGGGAACTGGAAAGGTTTTGCCATCGGCAGGAAAGAGCGTGCTGAAGGCATCTTCGGACGCAACTTGATCTTGGTACGGGAGCCCATCATGTCATTGAACATGAGTTACAAAGAAAGGTCTTGTATGGCCCCAGATGGTCACACCGATCTCAGTGATTGAAAGCCGTGCCCAGACCGAGGTGCCATGCCATGACACAGAGAGCTGCCACATTTGGCTGGCCTTGATCGTCCAGCCGTTCGGGACTCTCAGCCGAATCCGATGCGCAGAGGGGGTCGAGATGTGCTACAAGCAGAGGCTGACTTCTCTCCGCATGGCAACAGTGTATTGAGGGACCCGACCGCTTTCTGAAACATGAAAACGAGTCTTCCATTGCACCAGACCGTGCCCCACTGTTCTGCACGGCTGTCCACTGACTTCGCGTCTCACCGAACTTCTCCACCCATCCGCGCTGGTGCCGGTTTCCTCTTCCCAGGTGGGCGGCGGTGGCCTTGAACCTGGGCGATGACCAGCCCTTCATCGCCCTTCTGGACCTCGCCCCTTGTCAGGCGGGGAACGCGCGGGACACGTTCGTCCGAGCCCTTTGCGCGGGGGCAACGCGCGGGTCAGGGATGAATTGAGAAGTCATGTGGTTTTCGTGATTTGATCGAGGCAGGTTCCTCTTGTTTTGTGTAGAGGCAGGCTATTTGGGACCCCTTTTCTAGAAGGCATTTGAACAAGTGGCACACTTGGAACTGCGGTGCGGATGGCCTCCATCAGAACTGATGTCTCAAAGAAGCGGCAGATGTTGCTCACACCCTGCCCGTCAGTTGGACCTCATTCTACTGGAGTTGGTCACACAAGAACCTTACTCAAGGAGGTTTAAGACCAGGTTTTACTGAATAGGTCTTCGGACTTGTAGGGGTAGAGCTCTGTTGGCGAATTGAGGATGTCGAATGTAGATTTGTTTGCTGATGTTTGTGTTGAACATTTCTTTCTTTCTGTCGTGCTGCCATGCTGTGATTGTGATGCGAGGTTTGCATAGATTGGTGGCACTTCCTAACCTAACCTAAGGACCGATAAAAGGCTACACCGCATATCTATACTCTATATTATTCAAGGGACCCAATATCAACCGGATGAGTCTTTCTGGGAGCACGGCTTCAATTCCTAAGGCTTTTCCTTTTTTTCCTCACGAAGCTCAGCTCCCCAAGCCCTTTCAGTCCACCTCCCCTGCGCGTCCGCATGGCCGTCGTGCTTGCGGCTGATTGAGGCGTCCAGCAAGGAGCATCATGCAGGATCTTGGAAACTGCTGAAGGATTCGGCCAGGGTGGATGGGTGGATGGATGGAGATGTGGTGCCGGTTTGTTCAAACGTGGATGTCTTTACCGGCCACTGGTGGCCAGTCCGTGGTGAGTCGCTCTGGCAGGACTACTTGATGCGAGAATGGGACGAGTGCAATGACCTCAGTGGCACCAAACGGCGCCCCAGGAGCTGCTGGTCTGCGGACGGGCCTGCTGATGATTTCAGTGAACCCAAGCCGTAATGTAGGCTATGGATGATATTTCAACCCCCCCATATGGAGATGTTTGAACCCTCCCAAATAGTGGGCTCCTTTTTTTGAAATCAACATCATCAACAGTCTACGTGAGAGAACATCTTGGCCAATGTCACCGAGGCTTTGGGCTCACGGCTGACTACCGCGCCGAGCGCGTCCGGGAGCTGCTCCTCCGCACGCCCGAGGCGCACCGGAGGTTCCAACGACCCGCTCCCTTTCTCTCCACCTTTTTGGAGCTTTTATTCAATCGTTTTCCGTTTTCCAGCTTAAGGGCCTGCACACAGTGCACCAAATCCTCGGGCACGGTGATGGTGCGCCGGACACTGACTTGTGCTCGGTAGGGAATGAGGGAATGGATCCAATGGAGTCGGGGCTCATTCCCTTCTTCCCCACTGAGCACCAGTCAGGGAATTGTGAGAAAAGGCCGTGAAAAAAGCAGGTGAGCCTGCTCACTCCAAACTATCTTTGTTCCGCTTTTTGGCCTGCTCACTCCCAGCACGTTGTGAAGACCTACTTGAAGCATCTCCTGCTGGATGGTACCTACCCCAAGCCCAAAACGGAGAGATTCGTTTCCTCCAACCGCCACGGACGGCGACCGCCAAACCCGTCGCGACTGCGGCAGGGCCGTGCCGCGCCGCGTGCGGTCTATGGGCTTCTGGAGCATTTTGGACGCAAGTCGAAGTGGTGGCAGAGAGGAAAGGCGCACACACGGCCCACACGGTGAAACCCCAGGCTTTATTTAAGACTAAAAACCCAAAGCAGCCCAATCCCACAAGGGATTCATCTAGAGGCCCTTTCTGGAAGGGTCAGCGAAGGTCCCCGAGAAGATGAGGGAGAAACCAAGATTGCGAGGCTGAACGAGCCTGATAAGGACTAGCGGGAAGAGGAAGATCAGGTGAAGGATTTGCCAGGGTTTGGGTCTGTTTTGGTTACATCATCTCCACATGCCAGAGGACTCGGTATGACGGCTGACAGGTTGTGTCATTTGTGTGGCTGACAGGCTGTGGATGACCCACGGCCGTCACACGGCCCGCGCAGGTGTTTGTTTGGGAACAAACCTCTTCAGCCTCAAACGGGGAAGGGGGGGTCCTGCCCAGTCTGAGCTCACACATTTCAGCCTGGCCGCTGTTCCCTCCCTCCCTTGCAGCCCTGCGTATTCCCTCAGCTCCAAAACAACCCTCGCATCGCCGGCCGAGGCTGGCAAATCGCTTGCTGGACAACTCAGCTGCTTTGAAGTACCTCTGCGAGCATCAGGAACCCGGAGTCGCCCCGGGCGGAACTGGAGCCTGTCGTTTTGATGCATCATGATGCATCTGTTCTTATTTTTGCGTTGGTGGGTGGATCAGATGGGAAGGGGAGACGACCCAGGTCATGAACTACCAATATGGGTCATATTTGAATATATGCTCATGTTATTGTACCCAGAGTTGGATATATCTACGCAGTTAGACTTGTATATGATCAGGATCTATTCATACCCAGTGAATGACCTCATCAACCCCGTCCCCGTCCGGGCGGAATTCGTGGGGACGAGGTCGGTGGACGGTAGGGGCCGAACTGGGGTTGCTTTTGAAGTGAGGGTCGTGGGTCTTTGCGTCCATGTTGAGCTACTCTTTGTGTGTTGGAGCGGACGAAGCCAACGTGGGACGAAGCGGAGTGCAGCCACCCGCCCGCGTCGGTTCGATCGGTTCGCGTACCGAAGACACGGGTAGGAGGCACCTCCAGAGCTCTTGGCACCTCTGGAATTGCAGAAGTGGTTGAAGGATAAGCCGGATCAGCTGAAGGCCGGATCCAACGAAGTCTGTTTCTTTTCGCCATAGGCCGAGAGGTTGAGAGACTTGATGGGATCCAGCAGTAGAGATGGGACCAGGCTATGGAGCCAAGCCCTGATATGCGGCCAGTCTGATTGAGTAGAACTGCGGGGGCTTCTGAAGGACTCAGTGGTGAAGTGTGCCAATGCCTTGGGGGCTGACCACTTCAGCTAAACTTCGCAACCGGTGCATGGGTTTCAGTCGAAACCATGTCAGCATTTGGAAATGGGAGGTTGACATGTATTTTGACGGGGGTCAATTATTGTGGGTGGTCTATTGAGTCTACTGAACAGCGACTCGTGACTTGACATGTCGGAATCAAGCCTTAGAAACATTATCGACTCTTAGTTGTGCATAGTTGCGTCAAACGCATGGCACAGCAACTTTGCTAGACAGTTACACGCAAAGCACATCAAGATATGACTTGAACAGCATTGAACCTTCCATTGAAGCGCTCGCTGTTGACTTCAACCGTTCCTTCAAAAAAGAGATTTACGTGGCCAACATGTTGACTTCCACTCACATCTTCCCAATTGTTCTCGAACATCAAGCTCTTCACCTTTCTCCATTTATATAGCTGGCCGTTGAGTGCGTCGTGCGCTTCCGCGCCATGGAAGCTTGATTTGGGCACCATGGAAGCTTGATGAGGCCCTGCCATGGAGCGCGTCTCAATGGAGGTGGACCTCGAAGCGAACGCTGCGAACGAGCGGCTCGTCGAGCCGGCGAGCTGCTCGGAACTCGTGGTCTTCGGGATGGGCAACAACTCGGATGGTCAGCTGGGCTGTGGCTTTTTGGATGATGATGACGACAAGATCTTTGAGCCTTGTGAACTCAAAGCCTTCGACAGCATCCAGGTCCGGAGCTGCGCCATGTCCTTGAGACACTCCAGTTGGCTCACCACGGATGGCATCGTGTACACGGCTGGGGACAACGACTCGGGTCAGTTGGGCCGCAGTGGGAAGCGGACGAAGCCCTTCAAGAGCCTTGGGCGGGGTTGAAGACCCACCCGACCTGGGCCATGGGGGTTCCATGTGGTCCCTTTGCCCGGGGAGTAGGTGCAACACTCAACAGGGTGGCTCCTGCCGCTTTTGTGCACATTTCTTCAAGCTTTGCAGAGGTTGAAGCGCGTTTTCGGTGAGAACGGGATGGTTGAGGTTGAGTTGGTTCAAGAGGGTCAATTCTCGGTGTAAAGATTCTTGTGTTTACAGTCAAAAGTCGTTGTAAACCTACAAGCCGAGCCTCAATGAGTGGGTGGGGAAAAACAGCAATCCCCAAATGTGGACGGCTTGTTTACATGCCCTGCGATGCTCTTGCTATCCTGAGTGTGAAATCTTCCCCAAGGATCGATTCCATTGAACACTTGCCGGTTGAGAGTGTGGCCGCTGGCAATGGCTTTACCGTCTTAGCCGGCAAACTTGATGGCCGCTTGATGGGAGTAGGCGGGAGTAGGCTCCATGCCCAAAGGCTTCCACAAAATCTGTGAGACAACCTTTTGGGTTCAGTGAACTTGAGTTTTTTGTTCAGTTCTTCATTCAGTTGATCACGTCCCCCAGCATCGCCAAACTCCTGGATTTCCAACCCTCCACGCTCTGCAGGGCGGGGCGATCGAGGGCAGCTGGGCATGGGTGGCGCCGACCGTGATGACAAGGAGCGCGTGAAGTTCTCCTCCGCTTCGGGCGAGCAACTCCTGCAGATCTCGGCGGGGGAATCGCACTGCCGCGTGACGAAAAGAGAAATGGCGTCTCACAGCCACAGCCGTGGGCAAAGCGTCGAGAATAAGAGTCTGGTTGGGTCTCTGGTTGGGGAGGTGGGGAATCTGGGCAGACGGGTGTCTGTGCCCCGGTTCCCCGGTGATCCAAGGGGTCGGACTTTTTTCACGGGTTCGAAAGCCAGGAGGTGATCACGTGTTCAGTCGAATGAAACCCTAGAGCTACATAGCCATTGATCAAAGTATGTCGGTCTGAGACAGTGTCTTTTTTCAGTTGGTGGTGACTTGGGACACTTCATCGTGATTGAAGGACCGTTTATATGGAATACATGACTATCTGAACGTCAAAGGAACATACATTGGGATTTGTTTGTCAATGTTTCAGAATCTGTCCTCCTGCAATGTTTCTCATTGTTTCTTTCCGGTAGAATGATGTAGAATGGAAGTTGCTTGGCCCTCGCGTTTGGTTCGAATAAGATATGCACTCCGTCCCACATCCTGCCTGTGAACCTTTGTCACCTATATCAAGCTGTCTGTTGCTGAGACAGTTTGACACATGGGTCGTGCTTTCAGTCACACATTCCTGCAAAGATTCTCATTCTTGCCTGAGAAGGGTAAGGATGTCCAATCGCTTTCACAAGGGCCTTCAGGTCGCCAAAGGGTCAGGATTTTCACCCAAAACTCTTCTCTTTGCACTATTCCTGGTGCCCCCAGCAACTGAGGCCTAGCCCTCTGCCGCTCGGGGAAGGTCTTGGCCTTCGGGGAGAACAAGCACGGGCAGCTGGGAAGCGGAGATTTTGTGAGTAGTGCCACTCCCAAGGCAGACCCGGGGGGGGGGGGCAGACTCGGTTTTAAGTGGAGCCCACGGAAGATCCCACGGACTCTCAGATGTCTCATGGCCGCGGCGAGACATCGCAGTGACTGACTCATGGTTTGTGAATGTTCGTGGCCCTTTGGTTTGATCTTGATTGGCATTCGCAGCATTCAAGCACTTTTTGGAGTGGCTTGAGATACAGGCACCAGATGACACAATGATTCTTCTCCTTGCTGCAGAAAGCGATGCTTGATGACACGGAGTGACAAGTGTCTTACTTTGAACATTTGGAATGATCACATCTTTCCAAGTGCTTAACTCGAACACGGAGTCGAGAGATGGGTTCCATGGCATCGCTGGGGCTTAATATTCAGTCGTATTGGGGCAAGCTGACCATGACCACAGACATGTACAACATGACCACCAAGCCAGCTACTGATTCCCATCTTCTGTGGCATAGCCCTCCCATGACAGACGCTTTCTTTTTCATCCTTTTTGCGAAGCCCCATCGGAAGTGTTCTCTGCTTTGGTGCCAGGATACTTGGAAGTCCATTTGTCTATCTCTTCCGCCACCGCTGCCTCCCACTTCGCAGGTGGTCGCTTCGTTGTCTTCGCGCCCCATCGTCCGCGTCTGCTGCGGCGCGCAGCACGCGCTGGCGCGGACAGCCACGGGTCTCCTGTGGGCGTGGGGCTGCAATGAGCATGGCCAGCTGGGCTTGGGAGACTTGAAGCCTCGCTTCCGGCCAGAGCAGGTGTGGTTTTGGGAAATCGGGTAAGACTTGGGAGGGTTTTGGGGGGGGCGAAGTCCAGTAAATTGTGAACATTTCTCGTGATAGCTTTAAAATGCATCAAGTGGAATGGATGCGTTTTTGGGGAGAGGTTCTCTCTTGAAGATGTGACCGTTCTCTTCCACCTTCCAGGTGAAGGCCCTGCGCGTCTCCCGCTGCGTGGATGTGGCGGCGGGGCAGCGCCACAGCTTGGCGCTGAGCGAGAAGGGCCTGGTCTTGGCCTTCGGTGCCGGGGGCTCTGGGCAGCTGGGCTCCGGAGGCATTGCGGAGACGGAGCCATATCCCAAGGCGGGAGGAAGGAGGGGTGAAGGTGGGGAAGGTGGGGTGAAGGGTGGGGAGAAAGTGGGTGAAAAGGGGGGGTTGGATGGCTTTTTCGGGTGGCAATTTCCAGTTGGAAGGAATTTGGGGGGCCTTGCTGTGAAGTCTGTAGGTTGGGTGGGGTGGGGTGTTTCACGTTGGACACTGCGAGTCTGCGAGGCTGGCAGCTTCCAGTAGAGCCCCCTCTTTCCTAAGTGGTGTTCGGCGAGTTGGGTGTGGAGAGGGCGTTGAGAAGGACTCGGTTGGTTCAGTTGGCAGTTCAGTTTGGGTTGGTTGTAGGATGGCTCATGCTCAAAAAAGATGGTGAATGCACAAGAAGCCCGTCATCTAATTTGGTTGACTTCGGAGTACTTCGGCAGTCCAGATCATCCCAGGATGGTTTGTCCGAGTTTGTCCAGTGATCCCGAGTTCCGTACCCCTTTTCCAGGTGGTGGAAGTCCTGAAGGAAGTGGGCATTTGCTTGCAAGTGGCCTGCGGGCACTCGCACAGCTTGGCCTTGGTTCAAAACGAGGAGTCCTTGAAAGAGAGCGTTTATAGCTGGGGTCTCGGCTCCTCCGGTCAGCTGGGCCTCCCCAAGAGTCAGTTACAGGAGCAGCTGAAGATCTCCCCCTTGCCACAGAAGCTGAAGTTGGATCCCAGTTATCGAGTCATCAGCTTGATGAGTGGGCCCCTGGCGCACCATAGCTTCTTGATCGTGACGCGCACATCGAACGGATTTGCGAATGGCTACCCAAAAGCCCATATGCAGAGTCCTCGGATGCTGGGAAGTGCGCACGTTTACAGTATTTTTTACACTTCGATGTTTGTTCCAGGCAGAGTCGATCTGCAAGACCGGAGGAGTCAACATAAGTCAACGAACTCCAGACTTTCGGGCTGCTGAGCTCTCAAACCCTAAGGACTCAGAGCTTTCGGCATTCCTTGCAGACCGCCATCGATGCTGATGAACTGCTGGGCGTGCTGCGGAAGTTGCGTCCAGGAGAAGCCTCTCAACAGGTGAGCTGCTGAGCTTGTGAGGGGGCAAAAACATCGACCAATGGGATCGACCAATTTGGTTCGGCAGGTCCAAGCTGGTTTCATTTCCGGGAGCATCAGGATTTCATGGCCATCATCGACAGTGGCCATGCATGGCCATTTCAGATGTGACTGGTGTCCTGAACATCACAAAGAGGACTCGTCCCTCAAAAGTGGTGACTTCCTAAAGGCGACTCTTTGAGACAGAGCCAATTGATAGCATGGGCTGGGGCATCGAAGGTGGAATTGAATAACTGGCAGTGTGCAACAGCTCCTGTTCCGAATAGCTGATATCAGAGTGTCTCTATCCAATTCTCAACCTTCAGTTTCAGCC